TGACAAGCCAATAAGGCAAAACCAAGACTGCAGAAAATAAAAAATAAAGCTGAATAACCTGCCACATGTTTACTCACTGTCTTCCAAAAGCGTAACACATCTAACTCACAGCTCACACATACCACTCTAAGTCTATTACATGATTACTTTCCAACACAACTGGAAAAAACAGCATTTTTGCCTTTAGATTGCTTCACTAACTACAGCATGCCACATCTAACAGAGATAAAATGGATTTACTTGCTTCATGTTTATGAACTTTATTCAGATAAGCTCCCCCAACAAAATGGTGTTAATGCTCCTTAAGGGAAAATAGAAACACTTGTCACGTAATCCTTGTCCAAATAAAAACATCAGAGGAATTGGCTAAAAGATATCCCTGCTTACCAGCTTACCAGCAGGGATATTCTTTGGCTTCGGGAAACTGTATGTCACAGTTGCTGTAGTGGCATATATCCGCTCTTGCCTTCATCCCCTAAATGAGGTAGAAAACCTAGCAGCAACAACCTGGCATGAAGTTGGTGTGATGAAATCAGGCCTGTCATTGTTTTGTGACGATGATAGAACTGCGTATAGACAACACTTTACAGAACCATAATTACTTTCATACACCGAGTTCAATACTCTCCTTCTTACTCAGCACTACACTAGGCTGTACTTGACACAAACACTTGTAAATGATATGTTTTATAACTCAATAACTAACATCCACAAGCTTTACCATGAAAAAGTAATTCCTCTTAACCTGTGGTGTGCTATCTTCATACAGATAATAGAATTCATGATTTATTAATTTCTGCCAATAAGGATAACTTTCATTAAAAAAAAAGAAAAAGAAAAAAAGAGGTTACTCTGGCACTCTATTGTAATATTTCACTATAAAACATGTTTATTAAAAGCACAGAGATACTTAACCTCAGCTTCACAAATACAAAGGAAAAAAACATGACTTTAATTCCTGGTATAAATTAAATCACTGCAATCGAAATACTGAAGGAACCTCCAGCTCCTTCAGCACTGCTTGCCCTTTGCCTGGCAGATGAATCTAGAGCAATCAAGTAAAACGTAAGCGATAGAAAAGTTGGCATGACTTTTCCCAGTACATCATGGGCAAAGGCAGGTGGGAGTGCAGAGGGTGAGTATCTCTCAGCACTTGCTGCTTGCTTCATATTCCTTCATGTACGGTCCACGCTTGTGACAGCTCCTCCTTTCTGCTGGCCATAACAAATTACTTAGTTATACAAGTACAAAGGAATACACATCCCCATGCCCCTCCATTTCCTTGCAGGTCACCGTAATATTAAAGCCAGACAGCAGAGCTCCTGTCTTACCATCAGAAGTACCTTCAAAAAGTGTCACAAAGGTGACACTTTGCTTTGTGCAACTTTAGGGAGTAAGTTATATTAGGTACACGTGGAAAAAAAACAGAGGCACCAAGAGATGAAAATCTACACTGCATTATAAAATAATCTACTTAGAAAGTGTGAATTTGGAAGAAGCTAAAGCTATAGATACAATGTAAGTCATTACTAAGCCTGGCCTGGCAGCAGCTCAAGACAGGGAAAATTCAGGCAGGACAGCCTGCTGCCCGGTGGAACAGGACAGGTGACTTAGCAGTAAATGGAAGCAGAATCAGGAATGCTGACAGAATATCCTTGTTACTGGTGCTGAAGACCTCATGCTTACCTAGATACATATTTCAAAGAAAAATTAATATTTTGTTGTCTGCAAGTAACACGCTCACCTTCAGAGAAACCCAGCTAACGACAGACATTCTTGGTACTAACCTGGTCAAATGGAACTGGAGCAATATTACATCATGAATGCATGTGTTTCATGTAATTTGGCGTGATAAGAACAGTTCAAAGGCTTTCCATCTGAGCAAGGGTGACTATTTGGAAGCAAGAATGGGGAAGGGGAAGGCCGTAGGAGTAAAACAATGTCAAAGTAATTGACCATGAATATCAAAAGCCAGCATGTAAAAGGGCTTTATTTTGTACAAAGAAAGACTCATCAGTGTATTGGGTTTGTGTGGCCAGATTTCAGTACCGGGGGGCTATATGGGTGGCTTCTGTGAAAAGCTGCTAGAACCTTCTCTTTTGTCCCAAAGAGCCAATGTCAGCCAGCTTCAAGAAGGACCCGCTGCTGACCAAGCCCAAGCCCATAAGCAATGGTGATTAACACCTCTGTGATAACTTATTTCAGAAGCACGATAAAAATGTTGCTGTGTAATTGCATACAGAGAAACGAGTAAGATTATGTGAGAGAAACAACCCAGCAGAGAGCAAGGTGAGTGAAGGAGGAGGAGGATATGCTCCTCTGCCAGAGCAGAAATTCCCAAGTCGTGGTGAAGACCATGGTGAGGCAGGCTGTCCTTCCGCAGCCCACTGGAGTGGGTGGATGCTTGTGACGCTGTGAGAAGCCCACACCAGAGCTGGCTTCTGGCAGGACCTGTGTCCCGTGGAGAAAGGAGCCTACACTGGAGCAGGCTTGCTGCAGGACTTGTGACCCCACAGGGGACCCACACTGGAGCAGTCTGCTCCTGAAGGACTGCACCCCAATGCAGGGACCCACACTGGAGCAAGGGAAGCATGTGAAGAGTCCTCTCCCTGAGAAGGAAGGAGCTGCAGAGACAACATCTAACAAACTGATTGTAACCCCCATTACCTGTCTCCCTGCGCATTTCAGCCTGTAAAGAAGGGCCAGGTGGGGGGAGGTGGTGTTTTTAAGATTTGATTTTATTTCTTATTATTTTTCTCTGATTTGATTAATAATAAACTAAATTAATTTTCCAAGTCAAGTCTGTTATGCCCATGACAGTAACTGCTGAATCACCTTCTTGCGGTTTATCTCAACCCACAACACTTCCATTATATTTTCTCTCCCCTGTCCAGCTGAGAAGGAGAGCGACAAAGCAGCTTTGTTGGGCACCTAGGTCAAACCACTACAATCAGTTAGTTAGCAAGTGGGTTTTCTGTAGATTCTCATCCACTTGCAACATCACATCAGTTTCAGCTTTGCTACAATAATTCTTCCATTTTCCCCACTCATAATCGTCAAGGATTGATAAAAGAGAATCTTTGAAACAATACAGTAATATCTAAACGATAATGGTTTACCCTGTCTCTGACTGTAATCTGCATGCAGGTGAAAAGAGTGCTTTAGTGAGGAAGGACAGCATGGGAAGCAACCCCAGCTCACAATGTGATGCTGAATTTCCCTGAAGACCATGGTGCTGCACTGATCTCACCTGAAGCATACATTTCCAAATGACAGTGACTTTGGAAATTACCTGGCTACAGAGAGTGCTTTACTGGCCAAGATACTTCTAAGAGAAGCAGCATACACCTTTCTCCAGATTATGTGGTTTATTATATGTTATGCTCAAAAATCCTCATGAAATACTGTTTCCTTGACAACCTATCAGCCTAGCTGCTCCACGAAAGTGTCAACTCTTTATGAAGCCCAATGGTTCACTATGTGTTCACAGAGTAGATGTAAACTGCATGTCAACAACTGGCTACAACAGAGCTGACAAAAGGGATGCTATGGCCAGAAAAGTAATCCCCATGAAAAAGTATAATACCAGTTTAGTTTAGCTTATCCCTTTCCATATCCTACTGTATTGTTCCCTCTCCTGCCTCTCCCAGTTCTCTCTGTTGAAAAATCTTTAACCCATATTCTTTGGTAGGACTTATCTACCTACGGACAAGCAGTTTATAGAAGAATTCATACCAATGCCCATGCCCAATACAGCAGGGCATTTTGCGATCTCCCCATTTATTCCCTGATTGCAAATTGCCAATCTGTAATGGGTAGCATGAATCCAAAGCCTTTTATTTTATTTGCACTTCCCAAGCTGTAACCTAAAGATTCCTGAGCATTTATCTTGAGCTCTTCTCCTAAGACGTACAGCCATCACACACTTCTCCCTCCGAACCTACAAGGTAGAACATGGAAAAAAAATCAACCCCACACAGTGCTCGGAGAGGGACTAAAACGCAGTTCTACAGAATCATAAGGCCCTGCCCTCACAATTTGAAACCTTTTGCTCTAACCATTTGATCCTGAGTCCATCAGGGAAGATTTTAGGCAAATTTCAGCCTCATGCGTTGAATTAGCAGCAGACATATCAGAGACCTCTAAGTCCACTAATTCACAAGGATCAAACACTTACTGTTCTTTCAAGTGCAGCCTGCTGCAAAGGCAAGCTGGCACACTGAGGCAAACTGAATTTGCTGAAACTTGTTGTCCATGACATGAGGGTAAATCACTGCGCTCAGCACAAAAGCCCGTACAGTCAGGCAGCTGAAGCATTAAATACCAGTCAACTAAAGGCAGAACTTTGAGCCCGAAGACCTAAGAAATGTGATTTTATATTTACGTTGCTCACTGGAAAGGTGGTGCCTACAATTGGAATAAATGTATGTGTATGTATGTAATGTGTAGGACTTTGTCCAAAAACCCATTATGCATGGCATTCCACTAGTGAAGCAGAAGTAGTCAGGGTGTAATTCAATCCTTCAGTAGTTGATGGAACAGACAGATGTCTCAATCTGCAGCTTCCCACTAAAAAGGTAAAGTCGTATCATGCAAAAAAACACACCAAGAAACTCTCTCTAAAAAGCCTGCAGGTGCCACCCATGTGGGAATCATGGGAGCTTACTTTTCACTGTTTTGTATCTCACTGAGCAAAAGAAGACACAGATTTGCCAGGGAGTTTTACCCTCGTACCTAGTTACTATAATCTAGAGCAACACACTATCCACTTCTTGAGAAGGGGCTGTGTAACTGCACCCTGTGCAGTACCACACCTCCCGTATTTACTTTAAGCATTAGTGTCAGGCAGAGCGCAACATCTGAGCCTGTAAGGTTCTTCACAACTGAGGCCGCAGAGAAACCACTGGAGCCAGAATCACTTAATGACCAACAGAGGCACTGACGGGTTGGATCCTACAATGCTCTAACACACACAAACTAATCAAAGAGATTTAATTTACCTTGACCTTGTAGTACTCCTTGACTTCAGGCTGAATGGAATCAAAATCGCCACTGATGTAATCAGGCAAGAAGCTGAAAGGAAAGCAATGAGCAGTGAAATGAAAAATTAATCCATCTTACTACATTTAATATTTATTTTCTCAAGAGCACTAAGGGGTACAAGTATTAATCTCTCAAAGGAACAGGACTTAGTTAAAAGCACGTTATAACAAGAGTTGATATTAGGTGATACAAAATAAGGTAACATGAACTGCAAAACTGGTGAATCTGGTGTCCCTTCTTTACTGAGGGAGCTACATATCACTTGGATGCTTAAACATCTTCTCAGGTCAGTAAGGCAAGATTCCTATCTCCTTGGTTCTAGAAAGATAACTCTCAAAAGATTTTTTAAATATATCATTCAGTCAGCAAAGTATTTGACAAAGCACATCCGAATGCTGTACATCAAGCCTCAGAGGATATTGTTTGCCAGGTGATGATGATGCTTGGACAGCTGGTATGCCACAAATGTTCCAAAGATTTGTATTTCAGTGGTTATTGATGTCATCTTGTCTCCGCTTCTTGATTATTAAAAATACTCCCCCCAAAACATGGAAGTCAAATGCTCAGTGATTTTTAAGTCATATCGTGGATGTACAAAATTTCTATGAACTTGTTTTCAAATCATAAGCATCATTTGTATAGCAATATTGCTGCAAAGGAACACATTATTTAATGTGATATTTATCTCAACTTGCTTTTCATTGTTTTTTAATTGCAGAATGCTTAAAAATCTTTACAGTATTATTTTTTACCAAATTCATAATGAAACTTCAACTACGCTATAAAAATAATAGTTTAAGAATATATTTTTGGAATAAACAACACAGAAATACAGTTTTCTATCTTGTACAATTTCTGGAATTTTAAGCAGCAGCTAAAAAAACAACTTAAAGTTTCATCATTGTTTCAACAGATAAGGCTGAACCAAGTTTTGAAATTAAAGCTGATTTCATTGTTTTCGAACAAATTAAATACATAGCTCCTCTTCTCCGAGGTTGCTATACATTATAAGAGGTATAAGAATTCATCAAGCAAATTAGTTTGCAACTCAAGCTGACTTAAGAGGTATTGGTGAAAGCCTATCGGAACCTATTTTTCTTACAAATGATTTTAGAGGAATGCTGCAGGGTCTACAAACTCTCCACATCAGTAAAACGTACACAAATCTTGAGTTCTGGCTCCATTCAAAGACTTCAAGAGAGATGCATGGTCACTGGCCAACATTTCCCTCAAAAGCTGAAAGGGGCTTCAGCAGAAGCTGGTAAGTACAATTGTCGCAAGTTAGTTCACATGCAACTGTGGCATTTCAAATTCACTGATCTCTGCTCCTGATGTGGCTGCTGCAAAAAGATACCTTCTAAAAATAGTCTCTCTGACAGTGCTGCTCCCACATGCGGGACAGGGGAAAAGGCAGTCGCACTAGGTTTTATCAAGGATACAGAAAGTAACTAGGAGAAACGCAAATGCTTCAGTGCCCTGTTTATGTGCTCAAGTCACTCTAGCGAGAAAACAGTAAACACTAAACAAAAAATTAGATTTACTCTTTTTTTGTGAGACTGACCTCAATACACAGTCAAAAAATTGTTTTCAAAATTTCAATTTAAAATTCTTGTATTTTTGCCTTTCAACAAATTTCATAATTAAATACTTACCGACTACAATAAGCCTAAAAACCTATAAGTAATCTCTTTAAATATATTTCCCTTTCTTTTCTTCTTGGCTGAAACAAAGCCATTACAATTAAACTTTGTCTATGCATTACTGTGGTGGCCTTGAACGCAAGACTTGCAGTTGGGCAAGAAGAACAGCCAGTTGAAACAGAATCACAGAATGGTTTGAATTGGAAGATTATCTAATTCCAACCCTACTGACATGAGCAGGGACACCTCCCATTAGATCAGGTTTATCAAAGCTCCATCCATCATGGCCTTACACACCTCCAGGGAGGGGGCATCCACAACTTCTCCTGGGAAACCTGTTCCAGTGCCTCACCACCCTCACAGAAAATAATTTCTTCCTCATGAATAATCTTAACCCGCCTTGTTCCAGTTAAAAATCATTGCCCCTTGTCCTATCGCTATGCACCCTTGGAAACAGTTCCTGTGGCTACTTCCCGCGGTTTTGTGCCTTTCCTTTGCCAGACTGCAAGGGATACTTTTTCAAGCTGAACTGAAGGATGCATCAGCCTGCTCCTGCCTACATGTGTG